CATTGCTTCTGCACCTGAGATTTGGACCATCCAGCAAATGAGGTCCATAAATTGCTTCAAAAGGAATAAAACGTGAAATTTTAATCAAAGTTTAGAGGTACCACGTGGCCTTCTTGACACCATGAAGAGCATAAATTCAGGGGGACGTGCTTCTTGCTCTTGTAATTCTGAAAATTAGACTGTCAGCTACTGTGGTTTGCAAGCCCAGAATCACTAGTTGCTTTTGGAAGTCTCACCTCACAATTATTTCCAAGTCTTACCCAAATTTGTTGAACCTTAAAACGTCTTGCCAAGCAGTTTTGGAATGACTGTGGAATTTAGTGTCTTGTTTGTTTTAGGAAAAGTGCAATTTATAAAGCTTCAGTATTTCACTAGATAAAAATATATTTACAGAAAGAAAGAACCATTTTCTACCTTCTTCAATGCCAGTTGACATTTTGGCTTTATCTCAGATATTAAAATAAAATAAAAATCTCAGCTTGTTCTTGTTTATTAAAAAGAAGTTATATTACTATTTAAATACTTATAAAAGAATTTAAGAAAAGAAATAAAAGCTTAACCTTAAAATTTGTGATGAACGGTAAAACCTGTTATTTATCATAAACTCTGTGGGTGCTATAGGACCTACCTGGTTCTCTGCAATCCTGTAACTTTTGAGGTGGTTTAAGCTAGTACACAGTGATTAAACAATAGGAACTCAACAAGAAAACTTTTTATACCTATTTTTCACACAAGAGTAAAAGTATACTGGAGACCTGGATCCTGTTTGCCTAAATAGACTTAATTTTATTTTTTTTTTCCAAAATCAAACAGGACTCATCTGCCAAGTTACCAGGATTTATAAGTGTCTGCTCACAGCTGTCTCAGGCTCTCACACTTGGCAAAGTGAAGAGTTTGGAAGTGGTCATAAATGCACTAAACTTGCAGCTATTAAAAATTTGGCCAAAAAGGGGATATCCACGAGCCGGGTACTTGTGGTCTTGCAATTTATAAACACTGGTGGAAAAACTGAGAGATCTAATGCGAAATTTGTATCAGCCTGCCTGCGCTCGGGTTTTCCGTGTGCCGCCAAGGAGCCTGAGGGCTGCGGTGTCCCCGGGAGCAGGCTGTCTCCCACCGCCCAAGCGAGCGCGTCGGCTCTGCTCCGACGGCTGGCTTTGCTTTTACAAACTCCGTGCCAGCTCCGCATGTTACGGTTGTGAACGACCTTGTCTGGTCTTCACTTAATTATAAACTCTGTAGAGAAAAAGGAGATTTGCAGTGATTAAAGTGCGTTCCCAAACTGTTGGGAACTGCGCGTAAGCAGCAGAGTAGACTCTGCACTATTTTGAACCAGGTAATTCTCCAGAGTTAGTCTTGCTGTAACATTGCTTAAAAACACTGCTGTCCTAATTATGACATAGTTAACATTCGTCTAGTAATTAATGAGTGTTACAGTGTCTGCTCTGGGCTTGACAGGATTCCTACTGTGGGCTCATTTGATGCTGAATTGTACTGTACTATGTGCTGTGCTTGGCAAGTCATCACTCTTACGTGACACTTAAAAATCTGACAACCTGACAGTCTTAGCCTGGGCAGAGGAAATTACAGGATGTCCAAGGCACATGGGAAAATAACAAAAAGATCAGGTCAGTTAAAATCCTCATAATGGGCTATTAAATTGTTTTACTGTTCAGCTTCTCTGTAAAATATCAATTATCCCAATGGTTGTAATGTAATCAACGTAATTAAATTCCAAAGGCTTGCATGTAAAAACCAGGGCTTTGTAAATGGGAATCCAGCCTCAAGTAGTTTAGTTGGTCTGTTTGTGTTTAAAAGTTCTCCAGAGTACTTTTTTTTTTTTTAATGGTGTTATAGTTAGAGAACTGTTAAAGGTTTTTGTGTGTTTGAGGTTTAGGGTGTGTTTTGAGCTTGGCTGCACACAACGTTTGAACAATTGAATAAGCAAAGCCCGTGTTACAGCTGAAACACAGGGACGCAGCACATGCCAGATGAAAAGCTGGCTGGTCCGTAGCCGTGGGAAGCAGGGACAGCCTCTGCCTCCGAGTCCTGGCCCTGGCTCCATCCACTTGAGTTTCCTCAGCTGATGGATAATTGCAGCTTACCTTTCCCTAAGTTCTGAAAAAATGACAAGCTAGTGTCTCGAAAGCCCTTCAGATGTGAAACTTGAAAAATATTCCTCTCTCAGGTTTATCGCATTCAGGATCTTGCCTCCGGTAATATGTTTTACAAGAATAGAAAAAGCTAAAGAATGACTTATTACAAGAACATTTTCCCCATCGTTTCTCCTGGTGTAGGGAGTACTGCTCCTTGATTAAGGTTTATTTCACTAGAGCTATTCCCTTAGGTTTCAGCAGAACTAAATCAAATCCTATTTTGTTAGGGCCAAGATTACTTTTGTTGCCACGGTTTTCTGAAACTATTGGCAATTTTGGGGTGCACCATTTTCAAGCATCTTAAAAAGTTCTAGTTTAGAGAAGGTGCTAAGCATCTGCACCCTGAAAGTCAATTTTAGTAGGATTGAATGGCAGGATTTGCAGAAGTTTGGGGCCATAGTCCAGGAAATCACTTGTAATTCGTAGCAGGCAATGTTGTTCTGAAAGCTGCATGCCCAACATCTGAGCGTCTGTCTCCATCCTTCATGTAATCAACTTTCAGAGGCAGGTACTCACCTCCTGGAGTATTTGTTACTCATTTTAAAAAGCAATGTGACAGGTCCTTTATAACACTACTGGATCTTACAAGCAACTGGAAACCTGCCTGAAGTCTAATGGGCCATTCCTGCACTGGTTGATAAGGTAGGAGAAAAAAAAAAAAAGGCTCTTTTGCAAACTTAGGTTATTATTTGCATGACAACACCAGTGTATGGTGTTTAAGACAAGAACTAGATGTGCAGAGCCCTAAGGAACATGCAGCCAGGACAGGCAGAAGACGTGAACTACGAAGCAGTTCAAAGGAGAGAGTGACTTGGTCTTTGTTAGAGCCCGAGCAGTCGCTGGGCAAGAAGTGAGTGTTTGGGAAAGAATTTAAATACATTAACCTACGTGCAGATAAGTGCTGCTGCCTCTGTTTCTATCAAGTCGTTAAGAAAATGATAGACTCATGGCTCCAACTGAGAAATAGTTTCCATAGAGAATGAGCTGATGGAGGCAGGGAGATGCAAAGAAAGTGTTAATGCCGGAGCGGAGTGTTTGGGAGCTGGGGAAACAAAAGGAAAATCCAGGAATGCTCATAATGTGCAACAGCCTTGGGGGATTTTTTGTGTCTTCAGTCAAAATTAGTGAAGGGAGTTTAGTCTGAGGGCCTCCTTGAAGCTCACTGAAATCAGCATATAAGCTGCTTCTGCCTCGATAAGCTCTGTACCGCGTCCCGAGGATAGCTGTGGAAAACATGCTGCTTCCATAGCTCCATTTTAAATGTAAAAGTAGCTAATTGGTGTGAATAGAGTTGCTTGATCAAACTACTTAGAAGTTCCTACAGTTGCTTTGAAGGAGTAAAAAGTTCTCCATCTTCTGTCACCTCATTAGCAGCTTCTGCCAGTTCTGCCGCCTGCCCGAGGTCCGTGATCCCGGCGCTCACGTGCCGTGAGCAATTCCCTCCCTTCACGCAATGGGCAAACACAAAGCTCAGCCGTGCTCCAGGCTGCCAGGGTGCTGGTATTTTCCCAGTCCTCTGGCGAGCACAGCTTATCCTCCTCTTCTGCTGTCGTTGAGCAGGGCTCCCTGTTCCTGGTCAACGTGACACTCTGCTCTGCCCACCGGCTTTTTTTCTCCTCTGGACACACCAACTCGGGAATCCAGGAGTGGAAGCTGGAGGCTCGATGGAAAACAGTCTCTTGCCCAACTTTGCTACATTTCCATCAATCTTCCCTCAGGCAGAGACTGAATTGGTGCAGAAACCAATTAGCAATGTTTCCTTAGGAGGAAGTGACTTGTTGAAATGCTTTTCGAATTAAGTGCTCCAAAAACAGAAGAATCACCATGTGCAAACCTATGTAAATGCCATTAAAAACAGAGCGTGCCTTATCTTACAGAGCATGCCTTGTCTTCTGCACAGAGCAGTGTAGCAGGTTCCTAGCGCTGCACTTCTGCAAATACAGCCCATATCTGCTGAGGTCTTTATGCAGCACTTCGTGCAGTGGCCCCTCTAACACGTGTTTCCTTCTCTCTCTCCCACTGCAGGTGCATTACTGTTAGGAGGAATCCTCTATTCCTGGCAGTTCCCTCACTTCAACGCCCTGAGCTGGGGTCTGCGGGAAGATTACTCCCGAGGAGGGTACTGTATGATGTCCGTCACCCACCCGGGGCTGTGCAGGCGGGTGGCTCTGCGTCACTGCTTGGCCTTAATTGGACTCTCAGCGGTGGCTCCTGTTCTCGACATCACCACGTGGACTTTCCCCGTCATTTCGCTCCCTATCAACCTCTACATCTCCTACCTCGGCTTTCGGTTCTACAGGGATGCAGACCGCAGCAGCTCCAGGAAGCTCTTCTTCTGCAGCCTGTGGCATTTGCCAATGCTGCTGCTTGTCATGTTCACGTGCAAGAAATCGCTCCTAGAGAAGGAAGACAAAGGCGAGCTGCTCAGTGGAAATCATGGGAGGGCTATGGAAATTAGATTGCCTTAAATGTCAGTTACTTGTTGCCCTCATGACACATCAGGTAGTATGTTTTAGTAATTGCAAGGGGGAAGCCTGTGGGGGTCTGTTTGAAGAAGAATCATTTGTGCCTAGCGACCACTTCATGCGATAACTTTCTGTTTTCTTCTGAAAGGGAATAGACACGAGACCTTAAACCATTCGTGGGCCTCAGGCCCGTGCACTCATCACGGATTACAGTTTAGCCTGTGTCAGAAGCACGTCGCTTTGGGATGGCCTTCCAAAGTCTCCGTGAGTCGTGGTCTCTCATCTCGTGGATAGGTTTTCAGTTAGCCGGTCACACGCGCACACTTACTAACCGCCAGCGCTGGCAGCCTTGGCGAAGCCGTCAGGAAGTGACAAATGAATGACTTATCACCCCTGCTCCCCCAGCATCCTTTCCAAATTAAGCTTTGAGGCACATGGTGGGTTGGGTGAACTCTTCTTGTCTCGATCCGTGCCATCCCCGCGCTGGTATTACACAGAAGCCCTCAGATTCTGAGGCTTTTTTCAATCAGTTGCTTTTCCCAAGGTTCCCATTCGCCCCAGTAGATTTTTAGCTTTCATACAGCTGGCACAATGCTAAAGGAGTAAAGAAAACTGTCTTTCGGCACACTACACATCAGCATTTAAACGTAAGACAAACCTCCAGATGAACAGCTCTTCTGTAGCATACATCTTGAACACACTCTGAGCCATTCTGCTGTACATCCATCACGGGGAATTGCTGACTGCCATGTGGTTTTACAACATTAGAGTTTGAGCCCTGTGTGTCAGATCTTCAGCTGGTAAAAAATGCTATTACCATTTATGTCAGCGAAGCTTTGAAAAGGAGTAGGAGGTGAGAACCAGATCTCAAAGTCTGGTAGTTTTAAGGCTTTTCTATGCTAATGTGTCTTGTGCCAAGCCCATTCAGTCTCAGTGTCCTCGGACGAGCTCTGGACTTGCATCAAGAATTTGAACTATATTTAATATCACACCGTGGTGGCTTAGAGAGAAAGCCTCAGTTTTGGGGTATGTAATCGATAAGGAAACACATTTTACAGAAAAAAAAGTTGGGGATTTCTATCTAATACTATAATGTTCAAATTGCTGATCCTGCTAGTGTCTTCAAAAGCAATTATTGTGGATGGTACCACTAGGAAAATGCATTATCTTTGTTAATTGATATGCTGAAGAACATTTCTAGCCACAGTCTAATGTGCTTGTGATCCCAGTGCGGGGCTGTGGCTAACCCTCAGCCTACCTGGGGCTGGCTGCGACCCGCTGGGATGCTTCCAAACACAGCAGCTTCCAGGGCAGACAGAGACTGTGTTACAGTTTATTGTGGTAGTTAGTGCCTGTTATGACTTGATATGTTTTCACGCCAAGGTTTCTTTCCCATGTGGAGAGGGACTGGGCAGCAGGGTTGTGCATCAATCCAAAGATACAGGAATACCTGAAACGGGAGACGCTGTCTCTAATCTGATCCCGAATAAAGCCTTTCAGGGAACGTCACAAATCTGCCACCACGTGCATATCACGCTGACATAAAATCTTCACTGGCTGCTTTCATGATAAAAGCCCAACTTCTGGTCTCTGTTACACCGGTGTAAATCAGGAGTGACACGGTTAGCCTCTGTTCTGCTGGCGGAGGCGCTCGCGGGAGCAGAGCCACCTGTTTTACACGGCTCTTAAATAATCGGTTGCAAGATTTTTTGACTCTCTCAAGTGATTGCAGATGACAGGGTTGAGTTCCCTCTTACTGTTTGTCTGACGGACTCCGTTGTACTCGAGTTACTGTGAGCAACACTTCATAGAAATGTCTGGAAACTGTGCAACTCCTGAATTTGTTTTCAAAATGCCTCCAGTCTTCTCTGCAATAAAGTGCATACTGTACAAAAACAGAGATGAATGCTCAAAATCTGTTTTAAACAATACACTTATTTATGATTGAAACTCCGGTACTGTTCAGTTAATTGCAAAGGTATTTGATAGTTTTGTGGCATTTCTTGCAGCAACAATATTCTTGATCACTGCAAGAGCAAGGACAGCTTGTGAAAGACGGGTTTATTGTGCAAAAAGCACACTGCAAGTAAGTTGCATGTGAGTGGAAAGGGTTTGTGCAAACCCAAAGAATTTGGTCAACCTTGAACTAGGAGAGGAACCTGAAAGGAGCAGATGGCTCACAAAAACCACAGGTTTTGCTCCCAGAGGCAGAAGGTGGTGCTGAAGCAGGAGGGTTGTGGTTTTCTCCTAAGTCATTATAGAGCCGGGCTTCAGGATGGCCTGCAAGTATGGGGTGCTGTCCTGACAAACTCAGTTTTGATTAAAGGTCCCAAGGAGATGCCTGTGGTTCGGTTTTGAAGAGCAGTCATCTTCGTTTCTTGGGCCAAAATGTGTAACATTCACAGGTTTTAGGGCCAGACAGGAGCTTTATAATCATCGAGTGTCTGCAAAATGCAGGTCACAGAGTTGCACCAACTTCTCCACACCCAGTCAGTCTGGCCTGGAGAGAGAGCATATTTCCAGAGTGAGTGGATCTAGGATTTAAAGGTAAGAAATACGCTTTTTTTAAAAAAAAGAAAGGCTTTTTTCGCTTAGAAGGTGTTCTCTGCTGTGCTCCATAATGGCCATGTATCAAATACGGATGAAGCCATCTGCTGTCATTTTACTGCCTTTAGGAATTTTTGCTGTTTCATGTACTTTGAAAATAAAAACATTGCCAAATCAAAATCCTGGTTACAGGCGGAGAGTACAGTAGGTGCTCTCAGGTGTCCTTTTCAATATTTCTGGTGCCACTATGGCAATGAAAAAAGCACTGACCTGTCTGCCCTCATCCAAGAGCGTTTGTGGTCCCCGTGACCCTACATGGAGGATTAATGTCGGCCATCCCCACGCCAGCACTGCTGATGTTGCTGCTTAAATTCTGCAGGGAGGGAGGCAGGCAAGGTGCGCGAGAGTCCCTTGCTGTGATCGCTTTGCACAGCCAAGGCAGCACCGGGAGTTAAACTTGGGCTTCCTGCATCTCAGTCCTGGGCCGTGCAAGCGTCAGGCTTTGCACGGCTCCTTGAATCTGAAGCGGCGGCTTCTACGTAGAATTGCAGTGCCTTTTTCCTTGTCCCACTTGGAGAATTTGAATATAGGTTGTTTGTCATCCCGCTATCCTGGTTCCTCAGGATCTCCCCATGAATTGGCCCTCCTGGAGAACAGCTGTTATTTATGTGGTAGTGAAAAAACCAGCAGCAATGTGCCATGTCGCTCCAACCCCTGGCTCTGCTGGTAGAGGAGGGGTCCCATCTAGGTGTTGCTGTTACAGCGGGCCACTCTGCACCGCCAGAATCCTGTACCGAAGCTCAGAGGGGCATGAGCCAGTGCCTGGTTTCAGTCTGTTTGGACTTTAAACCTTTTGTGAGGTTCTGCAGATAAAAACAGTAGTCCTAAGGCTCAGGAGGTCTTCATTCTTTCCAGATCTCTGTTGAAGAAATGCACTCCGTCTGTAAAATAGGGATGATGATGTTTCGCCTTGTTGGACGAGTAAACAGCTGGTGGTTTTGTCAGCCCCTTACCCGTTATTCCGTGTGATCCTGTAAAGAGAGCGATGGCTACTGGTTCGATCGCCGCCGCGTCCCCTCTGTGCTCTGACCTTCAGCAAATTGCTTCACCTCGGCATGAGCCTTGCCTCGCAGGGCAGCGCGGGGAGCGCAGCCACGCCACGCCGACCTGCCCCAAGCTCCTGCATTGGCGAGGAGCCCCCGGCGCCTGCGTGAACCCGCCGGCGGTACCTCGGCGTGACGGGCGTCCCAGCAAGCCAGGCCGATGGTGGGGCTCTGCGCTTTGTTCCAGCGTGAATGAGGAAACCCAATCCCTGCACACACAGCTCTTTCCCGTCTGGTTTCCCCCATGGGGTGGTTTTTTTCTCTCTTCCTGTATCCATCTCCAATATAATCTGCCCCAGCAGAGTAACACATTCACACTCTCCTGGCTCCCGCAGCGTTTCCCACTCAGCCAGGCCACGGCGTTTCAACGCTTACACAAAACACACGCGTCCTTTTCAGTTCCGATGATCCCATGAGAGTAGGAATGGAAACAGAGTGATACTATTAAAAATCATTATCATTACTGATAGAAAGCGTGTTGTCCTGGGTGCTCTCCAGAGGTGATTAGATGCTCCCTTTTCCCTTGGAAATACAGGCTGTCTACAGAACACTTTGCTTTTAAAACAGAAATATCAGCACTGTTTTCCTATCGAGCAGCTCTGCTGGAGGTGGTAACAGTGGAAGCTGTGTTGCAGGCTGTCCCTGATGGCCTTTCTAGTCATGGTATTTCTTAACCAGGCGAAGAGCCAGCCCCGGCGAAGGCTTGTGGGATGCAGGATGCCACCCACGCTGGCAGCGTGGCCTTGGGTCAGTTGTTCTCCTCTTGGTGCTGCTACTTCTTCTCCCTGTCATGGAGAAGGACAGTCCCGCAGGGCAGGGCTTGTCCCCCGTAGGTGCCTGTCCAGCACTTGGCCCCACCAAAGACAAGCCAGAGTCTGGTTTCAACGTTCACAGAATCACAGAATCATTAAGGTTGGAAAAGACCTTTAAGATCATCAAGTCCAACCGTCAACCCAACACCACCAAGCCCACTAAACCATGTCCCGAAGTGCCACATTCACACATTTTTTGAACACTTCCAGTGACGGTGACTCCACCGCCTCCCTGGGCAGCCTGTGCCAGTGTTTGACCACTAAAGTTCATCATCTCCCAGCTTGTGCGGTCAGAAGTGTCATTGGCAAGGACCCTCCTCCATGAGAGTCCCTCAGACTGTGACTTGCTGGGTGGTTCCCATCAATGGTTTTTAGTCCCCTCTGAAATAAATGTACTACAGACTTTTAGGGTTTTGACACAAAGTTTAGCAAGCTTTGGAGCTGCCTTCCAAACCCTTCTGTTGACTGAGCTGGGGTTACTTCTTGAACACAAGAGAGTTGCTGTGCTCTGTCAGAGCTTGCGTTAGTCTGGATTGCCATGTCGCAAGGATGCCCGTGCCTCCGAAAGGCTGCTGTCAGGCCCAGAGCAGCCAGATGCTCCCTGACCCAAAGAAAAGGAGGTCTTTTGAGCACAGCATGTGTCCAGTGTCCCAAAGCCATTGAGACCGCCATCAGAAATACATGTGTTTAAAAGAGCTGGCAGGAACATCTCTCATCAGCTCTGCCTTGTACGCTTTCCGTCACCTCTGCTTTTCTGCTTCCAGACTTTTAACTGTTTGCACTGAAGATTTTCCAGCCTGGGTCAGTGCCTCGGGCTGGGCTT